ATGTTGAAGGAGTTGTTAGAGCGTCTCGCAACTACATTTCAGCATGCATAACTAATAGTTCCTTTGGGTCTGTAACAAACTTATCTTAAATTATCTAAAATTATTTAGGTAGCAATAACTGTTTTCACTTTAAAAATAATGTTCAGATAAATAAGATAACTGAAAAAAAAAATTTCTCAATTCCTGTAAGATTAATATAATTTATGTCTAATGTAGAAATTATTAAACTGATTATCTAAAGCAACTTTAAATTTTTATCAAACTAGCTCAAGACGAAATTTTTGCTAAAATTGAAAAGGAAAATTCTTCCAATGGTCATTCAACTTTTTACATGCTTTAAATTATATTCTACATATTTCTCAAGCAGGGAAATTTTATTTCTTATATGAGTGAAGTAAAGAGAGGAGTACTATGAAAGGTTCAGGTTTTGGAACAACTTCGTAGGGAAACAACACAAGGACACAAAAGTATTAGGAACAATGTTGACTTACTCATAACTGCACTATGAGCACTACTAGCCGGACTACTCTCCCTTGGTAATTTAATTTTATTTCACCTCCGGCTTTAAACTTTCCCGATAAAGATCCCTTGTGTATTTCGTGTCAGTACTGTTACTGTTCTTTTCTGGACTTTCTTGCTGCATTCTTATTCTTTTAGTCTTGGCACAAATCCTTCGAAGGTAATTTAAATTCTTCCTTTTTTTCCAGACCCCTTTTCTTTGCACCTGCTAGCAAAGAATGTAACCAATCTTTTTTTTATCCTATTAGGCATTGTCTGTCTTATTCGTAAATTAATGGAGTTATTTATCTTTAGTAGTTGTGTGCTTATTTTTTTTAGAACATTACAATCATGGAGAAATTGGATAAATACGACTATTCTCTCGACCTTCTGTCTTTTCCTAGCTACTGCAATTCATGCAGTGGAGCTCAAGAAATACTTTTGAAACTACCAACTTCAAATTACTCATGCTTTCGAACGCTTTGCTGACCTTTACGACGAAAGCCACCGCATTGGAGTTGCCATCGATTTTAATCTTCCTCTTTAGTAGTCCTTGTACCTACTGGTCTCCTATGGTCAACGTATGGACTAACTTTCCTAAGAAGTTTGCTCACACTGTTGACATAGGACTTTCCTTTGGTTACTCTGAACACCAGTGTTCTTCTCAACGCCTTTCTTTCAGTTCTAATTTCAACGAAAGCCAAATCTATTTGGCTTTTGGAAACATTTGGAGTATTATAACAATTAAATTACTATCATACACATGAGACGTCGGATGATTCAACAATCGGATGCAAATTAACTACATTAATTAATTGGGATAGCTCAGTCAATGTTACAGTTACAGAATTATGAGATTTTCTGTTTTGTTCCTTGGTTCCAAAATGTACCATTCAATCCTTCTGGGTTCATTGCGAACGAAAAATAAACTCGTAACATAATTCAATAGTTAGTTAAACAAAGTGGCTTAGCATAAATTAAAAAGGATTTATCATAAACTTATTTAAAAATATTAAAAATTATGATAAATATAATGAACCTGTGTCTTTTTTGGACTTCTTGAATTTTTCCTAGCTGTATAAAAACTCTTTTGTTTTGAACGTTGTACATTTTTTTGCACTCGTCAAACGCTTCTGTATACATCTATGATGGAACAAAGCTGACAGCGCTTATCTCGATGCTGGTACTCAAAAGGCTTGACGTGCTTTATCTTCTACTCTCTCTCTGCTCCTCCTTCTCCTTTCACAATGATCTGTGATACCACAAGATGTTGGTCACTCCTACAAACCGTTGGCTAATGAGGCACCAACTCCAAAACCTTTGGTGAGATTTTCCGTTTTCCGTCTAATGACCAGATCGTCATTAAATTCTCCAGTTTCGAATTTTCATATTCTTCAAACACCTATCAAGGTTTTTCAAACGTATTATATTCATATTTAAAGAAAAGTTATTTGAATTTAACAATTAAATTTAAAAATATTCTCAGCACTACTAAAAACTCTCATATAACAAGTTACTTGCAAATCAAACTCATAAATTATTCTTTAAACACTAACTAATTATTATAATTGATTCAAAACAAAAAACTGTAGTCACAGTACCCTTCTCTCTTAAGTGAAATTTTTTCCTTTTTGAACAATTATCAGAATTTAAATTTTAAATACTAAGAAACGAAAGTAGAAAACGAAATGTAACGTCAGAAAGATTGTATTGGTAAAATTTAATGAAACGAGAAAGAGAATTACGTGATGTGAATAGAGTGTACATACAAACTCTGCTTCCGTAGTTTCAAAAGCTACGAAGCAAGCAAAATAGACAATAGACCCAGTCGTTTCATTGTGTCTTTTCGGAATGATACAAATGAAGCTTGACATGCAAGGTTTCTCATTTGTAACACTTCGACACAGTTATAGTTTGCTGACATTGAGTTCTATAACTATACAATTTGTTTGATCATCATCTTAAAGTAAACTGCTTATTTTTTTTTAAGTGTCTAAAGAAAGAAGAAACAACAAAAATAATGTTGACAATTTTTACATTTGTTTACTTATGTATTTTATTACATACTACATATAATATTTTAGAAATACACTATTAAAAATTTCAATTATTAAAAAGTAATTAAATATTTAATATAATTCTTTGTAAAGTAATGTACAGATATAAATTCAAAAGTTGGTAGTTTAAAATGCAAGAAAATACACAAAAACAAATATGCTTTTTTTGATAAATGTGGATCGTGACATGTATGTAAAAAAGAATTACAAAAACAAAATGAAAATAGCGAAGCGAAACGAAAATTGCTCAGTCAAAAGAACATTACAAAGTGTCAGAAAATGAAATAAAAATTGGTAAGCGAAATGAAAACTTCAAAACGAATTAAAAATTTCAATAGAAGCACATTGCATATATGGTTTTGTTGCAGAAAAAAGATTTCAGAGGAGAGAGAAGTAATACAAAAGCTTCATAGTAATAAAAAAAATGAAAACAAAAATTCTACAGTGAAAAGCTTTAGTTTAATGCATTAATAGAGATAAAAAATAAGAAAAGTTTTCATTATTACATATTGCTTTAACGGTCCAGGTGAAAATTTGTCCAATATTTAATTGTGAATTTAGGTCAATTGTATAAAATAATGAAGATTTGTTTCACAGAATAAGATATTCTGTGAAACTTATATTTAATATGTAACAACCAGTTTTAAAAAAACGTTATTAACCGTTTTTGTAAACGTTGTTAATAATTTCGAATTTTTGTGCGCGCGCATTTTTGAGGTTCTAATTTATTCCACGTGGTCGAGTGCAAGTATATACATGATACATGATGAATATTACAGAGTATTACAGAATATGACAAATTACAAAGTGAAGAACACTTTTTTTCTTAAATATTTTTCATGATTCTTAATAATATTCTTAATATATGGGATGATAAAAAGTGAAAAGTGACAAAACAATAAAAAAATATATATAAAATATCATAAGTGATCAGAAGTGAAAAAAGTTTTGTGATTAAAATAAGCATAAGGAGGATATAGGTAAGTTTTTAAAAATTATGTAAAATACTACTTTTTAGTGATAAAAATAATTTTTTCTTTTTGTAAGTAATTGCAATTAATAAATAAATATCTTTCCCATATAAGTCACTAAAATACTTTACATATTTTAATATTTTTTTAATGAATTTTAAACAAGCACCCAAAATTTATTTTTAAATTATTTATGTTGTTTTTTTTAAAAAGAATATTTAGGTATAAAATTAAACTCTGAAAGTTAATAAACAGGTGCTATAACAACAGTTTTAGCATCTCTAACTTTTAGAATTAAATTTTAATGGTAAATATTCTTTTTTTTAAACAAAAACATTAATATTTTTAAAATAAACTGGATGCTTATTTCAGCTTTATTCAAAGAACATTAAAACATGTAAAGTATTTTCGAAATTATATTAATTTTACTAATAAACATAATAGTAATAAATCATTCACCACAGAATAATTTAATCCCAACAAAATCATCGTTGATGTTATAATATAATATAAGTAAAAAGATAATAAAAGTTATAATAAACTGATGAAAAAAATCTGTAGTGTTTAATATAGAAGAAGTTTTTAAAATATAATTTTTCATTTAATTTATTAATTTCTATTAACCAAATAGATAATTCATTTAACTATTTAAATAAATCTGAGTAATTATTATGTTGTATGAGAGAATTGATTATCTTCATATCCAATATATTATTCTTTCAATATCCCACAATGTCCGATACAACTGGATATGATCAATAACTTTTATCAGTCTAGAGTTTCAATCTTTCTAGAGTTCTATTTGAGGTGGTATTAAATATATTAATTTATCAAAGAAAAAGAGGATAATTATTTTTGTAGAATATAAAAAATTATGCAAAAAAAAAATCCATTTTTATATTGTTAGATATAATTTCATATAAAATTAATCTTTGATAATCAAACTAAATTAAATAGAATTGAAAAACCTTAATCTATTTCAATCTATTCATTCAAGTGAAATTAAATTGTACATTGTTTCGCTTATGTGATTAAAAAGAATAAAATACAATATAATTAATTTCACCTAATGAATACAAACTTTTTTTTTATATAATCACCTATTTTGAAAGTAATTTATTTAGATTAAATTTTTAAAAAGAACTTCAATCAATAGGAAGGTATAAAACAAAAAGACTTATGTCATACTTTAAAGTTGCGACGTTTCTCTTTATTTATTTATTTTATAAACATTTTAGTTTTCAGTTTTTATTTAAATATTAATGCATCATCAGCAACCTACAAAAGCTTTAAAATTGTATTAATAATTTCCAATAAAACCTTGAACGATCCGCACGTGTAAAAATTATTAGATTTCAAACATTACGAAATTAAATATTTGTCTCTTGTATTAGCATATTTTGTTACATTATTCATTGTATTAAAAACAGAAATAATAAACAATGTATATTTATTACATAAAATTAAACAACACGTTTAACTTTGAGCTTTTTAATCATACTGGGAAAAATGTAACTTTAAATTTTTCCGCAATTCCATTCAAAATCAGAAGGAATAACCGTGTTTATTAAATTTTTGTACTGATCGAATGGGCACAGTTCATTACATCCTGGAATTTGTAATACTTCAAGTTTATCTCGTTCACCCAGATAGTATAGAATCTGAAATATAGACAAAATTATTCTCTAATAACAATTTATTGGTTTTTATAGTTAAAAAATATTATTCCACTCTTTCCAGGCTTTAAAACTTATTAGTAAACACTGTTAAATGGTAGCTAAGGAAGTTATTTATAAATTTATCCATGTACCTAAAACTAGATTAAAAGTTTTAAACTCTAAAATAATTTACTATAAGAATTTTAATTTTTACTAGCGTCATTGTCCTCGCTTGTTTTAATTTTTAGTTCCTAAATAGTAAATTTTACCTTTACGTAGTAAATATTATGTATGAGATGAAGTTCCATTATCACTGCTGAAGAGAATTTGGGTGCATGTGGATAATAAACGTTTAAAGCACTTAAAACGGCGACAACGTTAAAATCATGTGCACTGTATAACATTAATTTTCGATTTTTGTCCATTGTACTATTTCTCACTGCGTTCATATCATCCGTAACTTTTCGAACAAGCATTCCTAAAATTAGTGTATTAATATTTATATTTTTTTATGTAAACAGAAAGTAATAGTAACCTTTCTAAAAACATCATTAAAGCATCCTTATAATTTTATTAATTTTGCAAATTTTAGAAATCTTCTGTTCGATGATTACGAATGTACTGTAAAATTTTCAAAATTAGAAGAATTTATCATTTTAAGCTATTTGGAAGTTATAATTTTTCAATCATCATTTTAGATATATATGTGCTACCTCCATTTAGCCTTCGGAGTTCCACGTTGTAATTCATAATTTTATAATAAGCAATGACAGCAGTTAAAATGTTGGGATAAATATTTTTACTCCACTCGGGTAATTCTAAACCCATAGATTTTTCTGTTTCCAAAGTTACCCAAATGAGATTTACATCCTGTAAGGATTTAATTTCTTTTCCGGTCCAAAGCGATAGTTGTATTTTTAAATCATTAAAGTCTTCTTCTATTCTCTTGACTTCTGCCATGTTTTTCACTTGTGAATATTTTTCACTAAAACTATATAGAAAATAATAATTAGTATTATTTCTTCTAAAAGGTTATTTTTTATTATTAAAGATCTAATAGTTTTTAAATGCAATAAAAAAAATTCTTAATATCTTTCATTGCTTTTTTTTCAACTGGATTCAAGAAGGTATATTCTCTACCAAAAATAATTAAAACAGCTACGAATTTAGTTAGAATAATAAGATTTTAAAAGATTTTAAAGTTATTTTTAAAATTTGAATACTATTTTAGTCAACTTATTCTACAAAAAGAATACTAAAATTATTTTCACAACAGGGTTAGATGAACTAAAAAAGTTTCCAAAAAAATGTTCAATAATCACTTACAGTTTGCAAAATAAGGGGAACAGTAGTGTGTCACTTTGTAACGGCTGATAAGTTGTTTTAATAATATTTCCTGGATATAAAGCTTGTAGAAGTAAGTTTAAAGATGCTTTTGTTCGATTAAGATCTGTACTTCGAGCTTCAATAGTATCTGGTACTTGGTCAATATCTAAAAATTCACAATACTTGTCGCGTAGAAACCTACCAAATTCAGAAACTTTTCTTTCACCAATCTAAAAATATGTTTATAATTGTATGTCAATTTTTCGAATTCTTTAATTTTTAAAAAATCTATTCAAGAAACTATAATTTATTTCCTAATACATATTAATTTTTCAGAGCACTAACGAGTTTAAATGTAACTTAATTATCAAATAATAGAATAAATAAAAATTTACTTTTGTCAATTGTCCATAATTAGGTGGATCAAATGTATAATTATTGTAAGGATCGTTGGGATACATTTCATATGGTGGAGAAGGTGTTCTGTCCCCATGACGAAAGACCTGAAATTTTTCTTCGTTTAAATTTATGATCAACTACTAAAAATGAAACTAAAAAGCACAAAAGAAGATAAAAATTGAATTTGAATATTTTCATTTATATTTGAATTTATTTAATTTATATTTTTACTTTATATTATTTCCTTACGACGTTAATGAATTGAAGTGTTGAATTAGATGCAACAGCATATCTAAACGTAATATAGATGAATAGAAAGCACTTAGACAAAACGAAGAACATTTTAGTTCACTTTTTAGTGTACGAATAATTTTTAAAAAAAGTACTGAACTTCGAGTAATGAATAAAAATAATTTTTATTTTAATAAAATAGATAGAATTTGATTTCGGAGTATTTTGTAGACAAGTGTGATACTTATAGAGCAAACTAATTTGGGTAGACAATTTTTAAAACCATTTTTTATTGAAAAATGTATTTATAGTGGGTACAAATAAATTCAATAATAATTTAATATGAAATAAGCAAATAGAAAATTTACATTTACGTAATGATTTCAGTATTAACAATCGTATCACTAATATAAAAAATATTTTTTCTAATAATGTGTCCACTATTACATAAAAGTATTTACACAGCTTTTTTCTTATAATACATATTCTCAATTTTGCCTTTTTTCCAATTTAATCAATTTCCAACTTTGTCTTTTGTCCAATATAACAAATTTCCCATTTTTTTCTTTTATTTAATTATAACCAATTTCCAATTTTTCCTATTATCCAACAGTTCCAATTTTACCTTCTATCTAATATAACAAATTTCCAATTTTGCTTTTTATGCAATTATAACTAATTTCCAATTTTGCCTTTTATCCAATTATAACCAATTTCCAATTTTGCTCTTTATCGAATTAGAGCCAATTTCCAAATTTTACTAATTTTTTCTACTCATGAATTGTTAATAATTCAGTTATGGATTGTAATTATAAAATTAAAACTTTATAAAAAATGAAAATTTTTAAGAGTTATACTTTTTATTTAAATGTAACTATCTAGTCACTACTTTACAGACTCTTTAAAAGCCACAAAAAGCTCACCATATATACCAACTTTTACTACCGTCTTTGTACTTCGCCGGTGGTGAATACCACTTTAATACCCCTTTTTCCAACCTGGGATTAAAGGAGATGAATTTCTCAATGAAATGTCACGCTCCTCATAACAAAGCGCTTTAATTTCTTATAAGGAGAATAATTATTTCACCAAAAATGTCACTTGACATATTTAATGTTAATTTTTAATGTTCTAATTTAATATTTAGCGTCTCAATATTATCTATGTTCCACATTTAATAATTTCTATTTAATGATAATATTATTTTAACGCAAACCAGTGGTAGTGAATTAATGAAGAATATTTCTTTTTCATTTCAGTGGATCTTCAAGTCATCAATTATCAATAACAGCGTTACTGGGGAGTCCAGATGGTTCTCGGCATCCCCTCGATTGTTACGAATTCGCAGAAGAAGACTATCAACAACTTGAAAATGGAAATGGAAATGGTCAACATCATAATACAAGAAGTAGTATTGGCATTTGGGAATGTCTTATTAGCTGTAGGCATCGACTCGATCAACAACTAGCAAGGCGAAGGGTGAGCAAAATAATCTCTACCATAAATTTTCATTTCTTTTTCAGCTATGTTTATATAAAGAATCTTTAGGGTATTTTAAAGATAGGTAATACATAGTTACTACAAAATTTTCTTAAATAGATAGATTTTAGTGTAACGTATAACTTCGTAACATTTTATATTGTCATAATCTTTATAAACATTATAAAATTTTTAATTACAAAATTCATTTCTTTAAAATAGTATAATTAAACATTTATAAATTTGTCTAAAAAAAATTTTTAAATAAACTAACCTTCGTTAACGTAATTTTGCCACTCGCGCAATAATTTCTTTAATGGGTAGTGTTGAATCCTTTCTTAGTTATTGTCAGTTGAATAATTTCAAGTAGACGGTACTTCTAATTAAAATGAAGGAACAAGGTTAAGCAGGTGTGATAGATATCAAACGCTGTTGAAATTAGTGTACGCATGAATTGCTTTTTATTCAATTTGTAAATTCCCAAAGAAACATGCGAGCATAAGACGAATTTCATGAATCTTCATTTTTAATAAATAAGATAAGGTTTTCTTTTAGATATTCCAACGTTGTCTAATATATGATATGCCTTCTATTTGAAACTTTTGCCGTCTGAAAGATTTCTGTTTAACTATTTAACATCCAACTACCTAACTTTAGACATTCTCTTCATTTTCCTCCAAACTTCACAGTGAAACTTGTACAGTACTTATTGTACCCTATTCTTCAAGTACATTAACAAAATTAAATTTTAAATTTATGAATCGGTAGTGCCTGCTTTATCAAAGTGGACAAAGAACATTAATCTATATTTTTTTATTCATCCCCCGTTAAAACATACAAAAATATTAAAATTCACATCTTACATCAATTTCGACGGAAAAGAGTCTTTAATAAAGGGTTAATACGCCTTAATTATTCTAAATTTCATTTGATGTAAAAATTATTTGACATAAATTTCACCTATGATCGGAACCTTATCTATATAAATTTTTTTGTATTCGACGTAATTTCTAACTTGCTATAAACATCATTTTATCGTTCGTAATCTTTCGCAAAGCTTCACGTGTATAAAACAAACACCCACAATATGAGGTTTACTGTGAGTAAGAATGAGGTCAAGTGGAATTTATGTTCAATGAGACCTATGTCAAGTAAGATTTACGTTAAATGAAGTTCATGTAATGTGAATTTTATGTCAAATGTGTCTCATGCCAAGGAAAATTTTTGGTCCAATAAGAAACATATCCAAGGAAATTATTATTTATATTTATTTCCCAACAAAAGAATATTTGAGACTATATTCACAAATATAAGCGAACTATAGGGTTGTAACAAATTTTGAATTTTACAGTTCAAGGTCCAGAAGTAGTCCCAAACTTCGCTTTTGGATTACCAAACGATAGTGATAATTTAAACAAATTCAAAATGAGTAGATGGCTAATAGATGATTTGAGTATTGTCTATACCCCAAAAAAAGGTTTTGAGAATATGAGGAAAGGGAGGGGAACCATAATAGTTATTATCGTATCAAGGGCGCAAAATAGGTGATTGCGGCGATGGCGAGATGAAGGGACCGAGGGGACATTTTCGCGCCCGAGGCGAAGCCGAGGGTGCGAAAGTGTCCCTGAGGTCCCGAAATCTCGCCAAAGTCGTAATCTCCTTTGCGCCCATGTTGCGAACATAATTTTTTGTCCTAACTGCATGAAAAGTATGGCATCGAGGGCACGAGCGAAGCGGGCGCAAAAGTACAGCAAGCGGGCGTAAAAGTACTTTTGCGCCCGCTCGGGCTAGATGAAGCGGGCGCAAAAGTACTTTTGCGCCCGCTTGTGTGACGTCAACGGGCGTAAATAACTTTTGCGACCGCTTCCCTGGCCCCAGGCGAGAATAAGTTACTTTGCGCCCACTTTAAGTGCCCGAAATGACATACTTTTCGTGCAGGTAGGACAAAAAGAATGATTTGATTTAACAATACTTGTGATAATGAACATCACCTATTGCCCCAGTCTGTGGTAGTTCTCGCGTTCACTACTTCTACAGTTTATTTGAATAAAATAGTGACTTCAAAAGAAAATTATTTTCAGAAGTGTTCGGTTAATTTTCTGTATCCCGTTATTCTGTTTGTGTTAAAAGCTTTGATCATTCTGTCTGTTTCCCTCTCCTTTGTATGCAGTACTCGCCACTTTATTGTTCAAAATTAAGGTAAATTTCGTAAAAGTAAAATAGTAAGTTCGGTTATGAGCTAGTCCGGGAAAGTTCTTATTTTATTATTGTCATAACCAAAAACCTGCTTTAAACTAACACAAAGTTGGTATTATCACCCTTTTATTATTTATTATCCCCTCTGTTATTAATATACAAATTACTATCAATTATAGTCTCCTATTGATGATTCGGTCTCGGAATCACAAACAACAAAATGTCGAAAAGAATACCAACCTCGATTGACAAACAAAATTAGGTATTCTTAGTGAAGTTGATAGTAGTCAGGACAAAGAGGATATTGCGAAGCAATTTACCATTCCCTCATTAACATGGTCAACGATTATTCGACAAAAGGACAATGATTCGATGCATATACTTCGGGTTTAGTGAGTAGAAATGTCAAAACATTGCGATCCAAGCACGATGAATTTGAAAATGATGTTTCGTAATAGATCAAACATTACCTCAAAATTAACTTTAACCTTTCGGTGGCATGGGTTAATATTTATCAAATAGCTTCCTCTTGTGCACAGGTCATTTTTTTCGCATTCTAAAATTAATTCCAGGCTACCTAACAAATTCCATTTTTCGCAAAATAAGAACCACCGTAATGTTTATACAGTGTGCAAAGAAGGAATTTAAACTTTAAAGATTTTAGTAGAAGGACATTTAACAACCCCTAGCATTCCTACATTAAATTTCTACGCTAATAATACGTAATCGCAATTCTTATACGTAATGATTTCATTTGCATTTACGTCTACTCATTAAAAATCTTACTATAATCTTCTTTCCTCTCATTCCTATTCATGCTCTCAACTAACAACGACTTCCCACCCATTCTTACCAACAACTTTCTCTACATTTTCACCTCTTTTATGACTTAATAGTTCCGTCATCACACTTCATGCGCTCATTTTTTACCCATAACCCCCTTCTATTATTATCCGCTCTCATCCATCCCAACTTCACCACCTTCACCACTACGCATTACTGCTAGAATAACCTTATCTGTAAATCATTGAAAATCATGTCGTTAACCCCTAAAAGGTAATATTTCTACCTTTATGTTTTAAATAAAGCAGAAAAACGATGCAGAAAAACGATTTTTCAAAAAGAAAAATGTTCCAAATATATCTGGACCCGACAATTATGATTAATCTTGCAAAATTGAATAGGGCGCAAAAAAAAGAAATAGTTGTCGTCATAACCGAACCTATGGTTGTGGTCACCATACAGACGCAATAAAATCAGTAATAATAGTTATTAATCATCATGATAGTTATTAGATTTTTTTATCATTAGACTGAATTATACTTGATAGGAGATGCGCCAACTTTCGATGTTTCAAATTTCGGCCCTTATATCGTACTTGATCAGGCTTCAAGAGTGAATTTATGTTCATCAGTTGTCAAAATTAATCACTAGTTAATATTTTTTGAACTGCAACTTTCCTCTAACAGGTTTGATATGCAAATGAATGGAATTGAGAATTGACAAAATGTAAGGACCAAGCCCCTCTCTCTACAATTCCCATCTCTTCATCAATTGCAGTAACTCCCATTAGTATAATTTCTCTTTATATTCTTTCACAAATTATCACTTCTCTCTCTAACAATAACCATGAGTCAATGTCTATAGATTGATCCATTACATAACAATTTTTAATTATTGTTACAACCATTTTACTTTCAATGCAATGTATTGACATATTGAGGAATTCATTCTCTCATCCATTGCAAGAAATACTCCTTGAGTGTAAAAGTTTCCATAGTTATCATTTTAAGAAGAAAAGTTTAAGTTTAATAAGAAATTATTCTTAGTTTGAAAATGATGTTAGTATTAGACAAGGATAAGCAGGAGAGGAAACCAACCCTCCAGTAAGCAGCTAGCGGTGAAGAACTTACGATTTGGACTCGTGCCAGCACTTTTATGGGGCGCGATGTTACAAAATGTCGTAAAAAGGAGAATTTAAAAAAAAGGTTGTAAGGTGTAAAAGTATAAGTGGTATTGTCGATTTAGAATTGGTAGATTCTACCATATCATCTCGCTCCTCCTACCATGTCAAAAGTAGGTAAAACCAGTGTGATCAAGGCGCCCGACTCCGTTAGACAGTTCGACGAGAATCTTAGAAATTTTAGTACTAAGTAGCGCATGAAAACTGAAAAAATTTTTGTCAAACTGCATTAGTCCCATCGGGCAGCGGAATCTATACTTTTGGATCTACTGCTCACACTGGCTAAAACCTGCAGTCTCACCAATATTTTCCCAGTGTATTAATTATCAAATCGACAAGCAAAGTCAAATATATTTGTCACAACGACCCCATTATAATTCGGTGGGTGAATAATTGTGAAGCATCACCACGTGTTATCGAATAGTTCTAATTTGTCGCCGGAAGGAATTTAACCGAACCAAGCTATCAGAAAGTTTATGTCTGATCATAATTTGAAAAGGGTCGAATTTAAAAAAAAATTCCGCTAAAAGTGTAATGCGGAATATATACATTATTATATAATATAATATATTATTATTATTATAATATAGCGACTAGCCATTCCAATTTAGACCCTGCATTAAAGATGACCATATATGGTTGGCAAAAAAAAATACCTTAAAGTACCCATAACGTGCCTGTGTTGCATAAAATGTTTTATTCACAACTTTGAATATGATTTGCTTCACTCATTTCTTAACGTGTGCACGATATTAAAACGAGAAGGGAAGTAACAACCTGTAACTTTCCTCTTCTCGCCTTGCATATTAACAAAAGCTGTGGGAAAATATTACACATCACT